GGGGGGGGGGGGGGGTGGCCTAGGTATCACGGTCCGCATCCATGTGCCCTCCCCTGTGCACCTTTCCTATACTTTGTTTCCTCGCTCGCCGGGTTTTGTTGATCCTGCCCGTGTGATGTTTTTTGGTCAAATTAATGGTTAACTGGAACCGTCACAAGATACGACTGTCCCCTTGAGAACCCTGCTAGTGATACGCTGCAAAAACTAACGGACGGTATACAAGATGTTGGGATCTGAGTGGAGACGCATGAAGGCGCGCGAAGCCTTACGCGTGTTCTTTCTTGCATCGCACCTCCCTATGGCGAACCAGCGCGTGGTCCGGTGGGAAGTCTCGACTGGAGCAGTTGGTGGAGAAGCAGCAGCACACGGTCAAGAGCTTGGAGGTAAGCAAGGCCGACACAATCGATGCACCAGCTGATGCTCAAGGTTGTTGATGACAATCGAAACACCTCGTGTTGCTTCCAGCAAGTCAGTGTGAAGATGTAACGAGCAGCCAAGTGACGTCAAATTTACTCGAGAGGTGTGTTCCGCTTTACCTGTTTCCACCTTCCGGTGGCTGAGTTCAGAGTTGCATTACTCACAAGAAAAGTGTTTGCAGGTCGAGGTCACCGTTCACTCAATATCAGACACGCCATTTCGCGTAGAGCAACACCTGTCGGTAAGCACGACTGGGTGATTGTGCCAATGCAGTACGTGTCAGTGCAGTAGACCTGGCCGCACAGAGGATGTTGGATCTCCACACCGGTGGGTCAGGAAGTGGACGACTGATTTGCAGAGTTGGACGTCCGCGTTAAGTGCCAGCGCAACAAATCAATTCAGAAATAATGCGGTATATTGTGTGAATCCGTCCCAAAGCCCACGCCCTTGGTTGAACCGATCGACCCGAAGAGTAAGAGGGCAAGTGTCTTCGTGTACGGAAAAAACTGTAGGCGATGTTTGTTCTCGCCAATATTCGAGAAAAGATTCCCTATAACAGGCGCATGAATTGCCCTGGTGCATCATTGGGTTTCTTCCCTTCAGAGCATCTAGGCCATTCTTTGATCATCCGGTCGGCCATGAAACCCGAACTGTCATCGTGCCAAAAACATTCATGCTGTGCTCGAACCAGGAAACGCACGAGGCCAAGTACGAACTACTGGTCAAGCAGCAGGACATCCAGCGAAGAAACCTCAAGTCAACCTTTGAGGCGGAGAGGAAGAAGGTTGCCATGTGGGTACTGGCACTGCGGCGTCCTTCATGTTTTTCCTGCGAATGGTCACGCCTGTATCTATGCATCTGTGGCGGTAACGTCCACACGGTTAGACCTGGTGATGGGTCATCACTTGTGTGTTTTCATTCATGGTGGCTCGGTGTGTGGCTAGCGTGCGGCCGTTGTGGGAGTCGTTGTGTGCCCCATTGAGTTGCTTCCCTGGTCTGGTGCGTAATGGCAACCGCCTTGCCCGCTGAGAATTGGTTTGAGTTCAAGACAACAGCAGAACGGGAGTGTCTCTCACCCAGGAGGCAGCAATTGACGTGAAACGTGGACCCCCATACACCAGGACGTACCATCACTGTACGATCCATATATACAAACTGGCGCCGACCTCGATGTCGCGAAGCCCACGATGCCGGCCTTGCTTGCTTCATGTGATGATTGACAATATTACGCGGATGATGCTGATCATCCTGCCAGAGAAGACACTTCTATTGGAGCGATTGCATGTATGGCAGCCTACCGAGAATGCGATGACTGTGATGAACCGTGTCGTCTGTGGACTCGCCCAAAACCAAACATTGAACGAATCGTCAAACACAGGTACTGCCGTCGGGCAGCCCTGAAACGCATGACCCGCGACATCAAGGAGGACGCGGACGAGGAGCGCCGAACCATGGCAAACAAGTCTGACGGGATGGACAACGTTTTCCTTGGGAACGCCAGGCAAGGGGCGATTCATACCAGCATAAGAGAGTTATTGGTGTATCTTTCTGCCGAAGGCAGGGAGCACGACGAGTTGGCTTCCGCTCCCCCTTCTTGCGAACCGTTCGTCTTCGTGGTCATATTCATGCGTTTTCGTTCTTGTGTTCATGTAGTGACACGGTGCGCACGTTGTGTAGTTTATGGGGTCTGTACGCTGAAACACCGAACACTTCTCCATTCGAACTGAGAAGTATACCAACCATACCGAAACGAGGAATTCGCACTCTGAGCCACGCTCATATTTGAAGTTGTTGTCTTCATCGTCTACCTTCCTAAATCTCCCGTCAGCGTTCTCGAAGAGTGATGTCCCCGGTCTAATATTTGACCTTCAGCTTTGTCCCTACATCCATTGGTCAATGTAGGTCTCCTTGCCCTTATTCCTTCTTTCAACATTCCGTACATATCTAGACCCTCCTTACCCTTGGTTTCTTTGGGCAGATTGTGTTCTCTCTTGGCAAAAGAAATAGATATTTTCTCCTTGGACACCCCTAGACTAGACCTTCTGTTTCAAGTGTATCAACTTCGTCAATTTCGAACTCCTTCCAGACGTGATCTACAACCTTGACGCACTCCGTGGGGTGTCTACCCCTCTTCTTGATTGCCCACTTTGCCTCCCAAACTATTCTCGGCGATCTCTCCTCTCCCATACCGTACATGCGGTACTGCCATTACAACTTCGTGCGTCTCTCACCGATCGTAAGGATTGGATCCCCAGTTCTTCCCTTGCAATACTTGTGCGCTTGGAATGCGGGGGAGGGGGGGGTTAAGTGTAAGTTATCGTCATCCACCAGGATAGATCAGCCGGGAAAAAAAGTGCGGGGAAGTCACAGGGATGCGTGTTGGCTTTTCTTAGAGGTGTAGGCCTCGGTCCTTGCTTTGCTGCTCGGAAGAGTGGTGAAAAATGCGTTGCTCAAGTATTTTCACAATACGAACAGTCTATGATAAGAGGCTCTGCAGCCAAACCAGGCTAGTCTCGTACGGACCACTATGGGTAGCATGATGACGAGAATGGTAGTATGCCATCAGCATAAGCAACAGCTACGAGCTACGACGACGGCAGAACCAGTTTCTTCGCTGGTGTACACGTCATGCCAATGCATAACGCTGAGAAGAGGAGGGACAGCCTTCAGAGTTAGGTTAGCGGGCGAGTGGCCACGCGACAAGACGTAGACTACAGAAAAGTACCAAGCCTACGGAGATTTTGTTTCAAAATACTTTGGTGTAGCCGTTGCAATGGAGCTATTGGTCGCCGTTGGGAACGGTCACGATGCCTTTTCTTTCTGTCTCCTGGTACGTGTCAGTCGACAATCTCACCGACATTGTGTTTCTTGTTTATCGCCTGGCCATGTACACGCAGTGAGAGCAGCAGCGACGACAGCAGCCTCGACTCCGCCGCTCGCAAGAAAAAAAACGAGCTCAAGCAGGCCGCCGCAAACTGGGTGGCTCCGACCTCCACTGGAGTTAACAACTCGGAGGCCATCGTGAAGTACGACGATCTCAAGACTGGCAAGATCTACTCGGAGATGGAGGTAGGTGTGCGTCGCGTCGGTTCATGCACCAAAAATATAATATTATTATTATATTTATGTGCGTTCTTCCTGATTCTTTCTGTACTATCTATCGGTCGCGGTGTTTATTTGTGAACGTTCACCGGTGACCAGAGGGTCAGGTTGGGCACGAACCACAACCTATGGGGGGGAGGTTGGGAGGCCGACTTCGACCTTGGACTCATTTTTTCTTCGGGCTTGCAGCCTGCCGTGTTGATTGCAATAACGCCACTATCCAAGATGCGGGATAACTTGCACACTTTGGGCTGCAACCTCCCGACAACCTCCCCCCCCAGGTTGTAGTTGGTGCCCCGACCTACACACAACCTGCCTCTGGCCACCCGTTTTTGTGTTTCGAGAAGTCGAACACCTGTTATATTTAATATTTCGAATTCCTCATGATTCACGCTTTGCTTGGACCCTCCCCTAGCCTCTATGGAGGCGACCAGTAGTGTTTCGAACGTCATCGTGTACAACAATGAAAACTTGCGACACCCGAGTCGATATTTTTCGGAAGTTTCTAAACAGGAGGAGGAGGCACAGCGTTGAACGCAACCACTGAATGTATGTTTTTCTGGAACAGCTCGTTACACTTTCGCACCATACGCCCGTCGAGATTCTTGCACGCATTTTCTCCTGGGTAGGTTTGACTGTCCGGGCACGTATTAGGAACTGGCCGCGCAAACTAGGCGGACGGCGTTGGTTTTCGCAGTATCTGCGGGCGGTTGCAGTTTGGTGGAAGGCACACGCGCCCCTCTTTGCGTACGCACGTAGCTGAATGGTCCAACCCGCGTGGTCAGTGCGAAAGCAACCTTCTGGAAGGTTTAATCTACGTGCTCATTATTCGCGCGTCGTTTGCATCTTCCATTTGAAGTAACGATCGTTCACGGGCGTAGCAGGAAACACCGGCCTGGATGAATCCACAAGCTCGAGCGAAACCAAGCAGAGCATCAATTCCGAGGCACTTCCAAAGGGAAAACGCAGAACTCACCCGGAGCATTCTGTCATACTCTAGGCTGATGCAGCTTTGCGCAACACCTCGGAACAATTTCGATTGCAGGAGCTGTGTTGGTCCATTTTCACAGTCGCGACAGAAACTCTCATCTACACACGCTGCTGCGGTAGCCTTTTCCTCCACGACAGCTTTCGGTCCGTGGTGTCACGATCATAATAAACTCATCGCACTGCTAACCGTTTCCGCTTGTTGGTCAACCTCCACCGACGGCAATCATAGGAGATGAAAGCGCGCGGGGTCGGCGTGGACCACGCGGTGGACGACTACGAAGCGGTAAAAGAAAAACTCGGTGCCGACGTTGATACTTCCGGCTCGAGATTCAACGACGCCTTCCGAATTGCTCGCGCGGAGAACCAAAGGCAAGACATGATATTGTTTGAGTCTTGACGGCTTTGGGAGTCACGCAATACAACAGGGAGACGCACTCTGTACATTTCCGCACATACGCAAGGTCTCAAACATTCATTCATTGATTTTGTCCCCGCGTATCAGCCATGGCGGAGCAATCACGGGGGTACACCCCCATCGTCGAGTACTGCACGATTCAATGTCTGAGGTTGATCGTTTCTTCCGCTGGACAAAGTCGCCGGGGGACCACACGATGTAATACTTCATGCTTTTTAACATGAATCAAAGTCGCCCGGGGACGAGCCAACGGTATTTGCACTCGTGTATGTCTGTTGCTCTTTCTTCACAGGGTTTGCGCTGCTACTGGTTCACTTGGCTCCTCTGGTATTTTTCACGTTGTGCAACATTTCTTTCTGCTAGGCGGCCTTCCGCGGCAACAATGTACCATGCTGATCCTACTGCTGATTTCTACTCCTCATGGTGCCCTGGCCCTCGCTTCGCACATGTCGGTTGTTCGCTGTCCGTCCTTTCCGCGAACAAAATGATTCAAAAATGTTACCTGGGCTGGCAGGATCAGCACGATGAAGAAAGGAAGCGAAGGGCTGGTGAGTAGTGAGGAGAAAAGAGCGACATACAGGCCGCTCCGCGACAGAAACACAAATCGTAACCAATCGCTATTTGAATTGGACACCATGGTCGGGGCTCCTGGCGCTCCTCAGTCACGGGGCCTCCGACCTTACTGTCGTAAGGGATCGCCCACTTACACGAATTGAGATTGGGCACGGTTCTCTACGTAAGGTGTGCCAAGTCAGCCTTCGTTCTACACTGAAGCGCCACCTGAACGCTTAAAGGCGCTGGGTGGTGGGAGTAGAGTTGAATGGTCTCAGTATACTCTCTCCGACGCTCATTATACCTCGTTCGCTTGTTATTGCCGGCGTGAAACGTAATGTCCAAGACGGGAGAAGCGGCACCGGTTGCCCCCTGGACACCTCCAACAGCACCAGGAGTTGGGTCGTCACCGTCGCCTAGCAAGGCGCAGCCCCCTGTTGATGACGACGACGAAGAAAAAGAGGAGGATGAAGAGGAGGAGGATGAGGAGGATGAAGAGGACGAGGTGAGCAAACAGACTGAACACATGCAAAGGCTTCATCACAATCCTTATGCCGTTACCCTTCGGTACGGACCGTCGACACTTATCTGTGCCTCACCAGCTCATCAGCCATCCCGGAGACGAGGAGACGTATATTTTTTTTCATGATCCCTGTAGATGCGTGTTCGGGCCTCGCCCTTCCGGCAGGCGCGCAATTGATAGACACAGCAGTCCACCAACTCAGAAGTCGCCCCCGGAATCGTTCCAAAATGCTTTCACAGAGAAGGAGAGTATCTTTTCCGTGTGAGGTAATTGGTTGAAATGCCGACAATCATCACCGAAATGCTGGAAAAGCATGCAAAGAGGCAGGCGATTCCCCGATTGTGTCGGCGGCGTCAAATCCCGTGCCATTCTCTGGCGATAGCCATGAACCACCTCGCGCCCCCTCAATAGGTAATACCAAATCTCAGCAACTTGAACACAAGGAACGATGCCCCCATGAACCACTCTTCCCTGCATCAAACGCAACATGTCATCAGGAGGGAGATTATTGACCGGAAGAAATGGGCGGCGCGCGCGCGAGTAAACTAGCAGCTCGTCCACACCAAGCTGGAAAGCCAGGCTGCGCTGGGTGTTGAGGTGTCTGCCGCAGCTTTGCTCTCCTAATGAACGATGTTCAAGGGAATTGATGTGCCGTGAGAGAGGGGTTTCCTATATTCTTTTTGCCACATCCCCCAAGGCGACCGCCCCCCCGGTGTTTGCCATCGGGGTTGGGTTTTCGTCACTTGGCAACGACGTTGTGAAACAAGCCGCCCTCCCCGGTGTTTGCCATCGGGATTGGGTTTTCGTCGCTTGGCAACGACGTTGTAAAACAAGCCAAGTCACTTCGTGAACTCGGCAACCAGGTTACCGTTTTGTTTTTTTCCTCCGTTGTTTTTTTGGCGGTACCCATAATGGTGGTCGAGTAGATCATGTTGTGCGGGGTGGACAATCCTCACTCCGCGCAAGGAGGATGGTCGCACCACGTTGTGTTAAAAATAGTCCCGCACCCTCGAGGCAGTTACACAGTGCTTACAACTGTTTCAGGAAGTGAAAGCATCAGAAAAATATTTAAGTCATACGCAGCTGTCATCCGTACGCAAGGGAGTAAGCACAAGATACCGAAAACCCTTTGCAGGATGCAGCGCACCCTTCATGCGACTCGCCGAATATCTCACGGCGCTTCGCGCTTGGTGATGTGAGAGCCTGGTCCGGTGAGAACCCGGCGTGCTCCNCCCCCCCCCCCCCCCGCCCCTCCCCCCCCAAGGCGATTTCACGGAAATCAGTTCCCCGTGCAAGCTGCACCAGAAGGACTACACACTTCGAGGCAGGCATTGGCCCGGGAGGTTCGGGGCACACCTCTGCGCCACCTGCCCCGCGGAGGCTTCTTCCACCGTTTCGACGGTTGTATTTTGTTCTTGATATGACGTACGCGCGCGCGCACATACATGATCTTGTCGGCTCCATTGACAATATTTGAGCCCGTGTGTATGGTCGGCTTATCGATTCTCTAGTTCCCTCGTTGCACCATCATTGCATTAAACTGGAATAACGGGCGGTCTTCCCCATGGTGCCCTGTACAACAAGCGCAAGGTGGTTGGTTTCTTGTGGTGTCACAGCAGCATTGTGTGCATTTGCGACGTACGTGTGCATTGTTGACTCTCATTTCGGAACCATGCAGGCATCATTATCAACAAATATTTCGTCCGTGCAACCACCGATGCGTATGATGGCATCGAAGTATGTAGGACGCATGTATAAGCCAAATGTTACACCATTAGACCAGTCAGCGCTGACTAGTCTAATGTTGCAACTTGATCGATTAAAAGATATGCTCAGAGCTCATTTGCACCCGGCCGGATCACCGGGTTCAAAACCCGATTGGTCACTTTCCCAAGCACCGTTAAGTTCTTTTCAGGCAGCGTCTGGCGAGGGGTCCTTCCTCGGAGATCTCTACTCACGAAGCCAAAAATGTGATCCAGGCGGGTGCAAATGAGCTCTGAGCATATATTTTATAAGCCAAATGTTACACCATTAGACCAGTCGGCGCTGACTAGCCTAATGGTGTAACTTTATCGATTAGCATGTTGCTTTCACGTATAGATCATTCGATTTCGTGTGTTAATCTTCATCTCGTCTGTGTTGTCGACATCGCTTAGGCTGATGATGGTTGTTTGTCCGTCTTTGCTTATACCGCTTTCATCTGGACAAAACCGTCGTTGACACGCACCAACCCGCGTCATGACAACAGCACCACCAAAAAAAGATGACCATACTCTCTCGGACGAGTATTATATAATAGCGCGGTCGCCTGATGAATAAATTTGAACCTTTTGCCCCTTCGACAAGTTTTTCCTTGCTACTCCGCCGTCCGTAGTATGATTTGTCATGGGGGGAACTAGAATATGAATCAATGAACTGTTCTCCTCTCGTAAGCTTCTCGATTATCGGAGAAATTGTAGAGAAATAAAGACAAGGGGCGAGGAGCCAGCGCATGAAACACGCAAGCTTCGCGTCTGATTCCCGTTCAAGGCTGTCTCTCTCTCTCTCTCTCTCTCTCTCTATCTCTCTCTCTCTCTCTCCCCCTCTCTCTCGCTCTCTCTCTCGCTACTCACAAGTCGTCAGCTGTATCCATCCATCCGGGGATATCCTACTGCTTGCTGCTGCTGCTGTCCGACTATACTACTGCTGCACGACGGGTTTGGAATGACCAAGTCCCCAGGGTACTCGACCATTCCACAGCATCACCACCACACAACCAGAAAACTCTGAAAACTATTTCCGCTCCCCCACCTTCCAAAGAAAGGGGTGGAGTGGGTGGTAAACGACACTACTTTGTGGTCACCAATGTTGACCTGTGCCTCGATCCTTCGGCATGCTCGCGAATAGCTGGCCTGAACACCAATAATTTGACGTGAGGGGATTCCGTATGCATACAATCGCCCTCTGGTCGCCCTACCCATGCATGCCTGAAACAGTCATCTTGTGCTCGCGTACATTGGTAGANCAACAACAACAACAACAACTCTCGGCTCGTAGAATCCCGGGCTGTGAGTAGAGATCTCCGGGGACGGACCCCTCGCCAGGCGCTGCCGAGAACAGAACTAGACAATGGTGCTTTTCGTAAAGTGATCAGCCCGGGATTCCACGAGCCGAGAGTGCATCTTTTGGTAGACAAAGGCTTACCCATTAGACTACGCCAGGCGCTGCCGAGAACAGAACTATGGTGCTTTTCGTAAAGTGATCAGCCCGGGACTCTACGAGCCGAGAGTGCATCTTTTGGTAGACAAAGGCTTACCCATTAGACTACGCCAGGCGCTGCCGAGAACAGAACTATGGTGCTTTTCGTAAAGTGATCAGCCCGGGACTCTACGAGCCGAGAGTGCATCTTTTGGTAGATCAAGGCTTACCCATTAGACTACTCAGTCAGCGCTGACTGAGTGGTCTTATGGGTAAGCCTTTACTATCATACATCTACAGATAGATCCGACCATGTACGCGATCACACGACTATAGAACCATGTTCTAGGGCCTGTTACGTTACGCTAGCAGAAGGTTCAATGTGCCCGGACGCACCAATGAACTAATTCTCTCTCTACGCGACGCCAGTCGGGCGTGAGACCAAGCCACAACCAAGTGTCATACGCACCCTCATCGTGCGGTTGTCACTGGTTCAAGTTTCAAGGTCACCCCGTGGCACAAGGGGTACTCACTCGTCTGACCGTTGCGCGTGAAGACTACCGCAGTGCTATGATGCCTCGGTAGGAACAACCTGCTGCGTATTTGCAAACATCGACGTGATGGTCCTTACGCCCAGCGACGATGACCAACTTGCAGGCAATAGAGCACCTGTCATGTTCGAGAACGCGCTCTGCTCGCCCGGACGTACTTTACTTCTGTTTGAAAAAACATGGACTCCCGTCATTATTAGCCAGATCGGAGGCATGACGCCCAGGAGGACACCAAACAGGAGCAAGGGCGCCACTTCGCCGTACTTGCTGAATGTTGTGAACAACAGGATGGGGTCGAAAAGGATCACCTGGGGGATGCTAGTTACGATATTATGTGTCTATATCTTATTTCTAGAGGCTAGGAGAACCAGGTTTCCAACACTACGTGGCAATGGTTGACTCCCTTTTACGATCATGGTGTCCTGCTGTGCCCGAAGAGATTTGTTGATTGCGCGTATCAAAAACATCCCGCATGTACACACCACCACGACGATGAGCAGGGTGAAGAGTATTCTCCCCGTTATCAAGACTTTCACAGCTACGGCCGAGTTCTGCAACAACGCCAAGGCGACTGGAACGCCGGGAACATTCGTTGCCATGCCCCAAGTAATGAATGACCCGGCCGGGCTTTCGAGGTAACGTTGACCGATTATTCGGGTGGCTCAGTTCTGTGTGTTGGGAGTGTAGAGCAGCTCGGTCATGACGGGCCGTGGTAGGGTAGGGGCGAATAGGAAAACGTGTTGTCCTCAAACATGGACCGCGAGCTGGTGTCGATGATTCAGGAGCTTCGTCGGGCGCCTGGTTTGTTGTGCTCGAGGCCATCAACGTGTGATCGTGATCCTTGAGTCAGGCGTTCTCGTTGCGAATCGCCAACGTCGTGCATACGAGTTGGTGCGCGAGCAGCACAAGTTATCCGTTTCACGGATTGAGCGTTGAACTTCGCTCTCTCGGACAGATGCTTTACACAATCTTCCGACTTGCACCGTTGACAAATGGGTTGGGTCTGTAATTCCGAACCTACCATTCCTTGAGGTTTTCATTCAGGTACTGACGGCGAGGTTCTCAAGCCAGAGTTTTCGGTGTTTAGGACCGGTAAGTTCACAGTTGTGGCTGTTGGTTCCTGCTCGAAAGCCCCCGATGCAGTCCTCTAGCGACCAAGTTGTTGTACTTGAAGCTTTCCCTACTCTGGAGTTGAAATCGCCCACCATGACAAAACTTCTCCCTTCCTACTGAACCTCTGGACATCTTCCCCAATTTGTCCAAAGTTCTCCTGCGCCTTGCTNTCACTCCTTGCGAACCCGCACACGTTCCACGACCCGACTCTCAGCTTGTGCTTTTCCCTATTGGAGATTTTGCGCACTCTATCGTTCGCCTGCCGCTTCTTCTCGGCGTTCTTCTGACTTACCTGCTCGCCTCCCCCGCTCGGTCCTTCCTTCGCCTCCGTCGCCCTCGCCTGCTGTCTCCTTACCTTCTCTGTTTCTATCATGTTCGCAATGCAAACTCTCCATCCAAACTTCCTTACGTAGTTCGACAGCTGCTCGATGTCAACCCCCAAGCACTCTTGGCTGTCTCCCTTGGTCAATTTCACCCGGAAGTGTTCATGGCCTCCCCCGCTCGGTCCTTTCTTCGCCTCCGTCGCCCTCGCCTCTTGTCTCCTCACCTTCTCTGTTTCTATCATGTTCGCGATGCAAACCCTCCATCCAAACTTCCTTACGTNNTGCAGTCCCTCCCTGTCACGACAGTTCTTGAACTCTATCCTCGTCATGTCCCTTGGAATCCCAAACAGCAGCAGCTCCAACTTGTCTCCCTTCCGCAGTTTCTGCCTCTATCCTCCCGGCTGTTTCACCATCTTCATGATCTCTACAGCAACTGGACCGTGGCCACTTGTTTTTTGTGTTTTTTCAGGAAGGTATAGGAATACTCGGCCTTCCCAATCCGAGTGTCCGGCGGGGGTTGTGGTTCC